ATTTTTTATATTTAATATATATTAATTAACTATTTTTACATTATATTAATTAGATTAAAATCTATGAATGTACATGTCGATATTTTTTAAGAAAAAAATTGGTTCCGCGTATTTGTAGAACAGAGATAGATTGGCATGAAATATGAAAATGTTACTGAAGTGACTTTGCGTTTTTATTAATTCTTAATCAATCAAAGGAAACAAAAGAGAGACGTTCAGTATGTAGATTTAAACACATCGCTCTTTTTCTCGATGAAATACGCCCATATAGCTACTTGTAAGTTGCCCTATTAACTTGCCGAATTAAAGGCAACGTATATCAAATAATTCTTGTGGAAAAGAACATTAGGCAATTTAACGGTATCAGCAGATAGCCTTATATTTCTCTTTTCAGATTTCTACCACGTGGGCGATCCAATTGGACTAAGATGGCCCATCATCGCCTCGAGAAATCTTTCTCGTTTTCTCTTCTTCAAATGCCCTCACGAGGACTGCACTAGTCTTCACTTTTAGCTGAATCACATTACTTCGCGTTCATATTTCGAAAGCGAACAACGTCGACGCTCTCACAGGTGTCAGAGCTCTCACATTATGCAGCGAGATCGAGCTGCGTATTTTGTAATTATTTATCGCCTACTACCGGCGCAACGACAGTGATTAACGACTCTATAAAAGCAACGATGTTAATGATGCAAGTTACTGTAGAATAAATTTTGAAGTAGATGAAATTCGGTTCGAGAAACCGGGAAAGTCATTATTGCCGGACATTCAATTTCCGCAAGAATTCGATGAATTTGCGACTTTGTTTCTTTCTCAAATTTGTTAAAGCTCCTATATTCATTTGTACCGCCAAAAGCGATCGGAAAAATAGCGATTTAAAAACTTCTGGCAAACTATATTAAAAAATGTATTTTTTAATAAAACGACATTTGCAATCAATAGCACATATTTGTAAAATATATCCTTGTCTTTTGATATATCGATCGATAATCATATATTTAAAATTGAATTATGCTTAACCAAAAACAAAACAAGCTATACGAATTGAGATAAATATGATTTTACTTTATTTTGAAATAAAAGCAAGGTTTTCAGTATATTTTACAAGTGCATTACTTCATCAAATATAAATATCGTTTTATTAAACAATATTTCTATTTCAATATAATTTGCAAGAATTTTTCTCTCGTTTCTGACGTCATCAATCTGAAGATCAGTGATCAAGAGCTATAAGTGTTGATATAATGAATGCATTCTCGATTATACTGTGATTTTACCATCACGAGAATATTCCACAAAGAGCTTACATCTACATACGATCGATCATCAAGGATAATCGTTATATATTCTTGAGATTCACAATCGCGGCCTTCCATATTTCGAATTCGCTACGATCTTACGTGGACAATCGACGACGTTTGCTTTTAACGTCTACGGTAACTAACGCTCAGCACCAAAATTGCCACCCACGCATGGCAGCCACATTTCGTCAGCGTTGTCGAGCGTACTTCCTCTCGCACGTCGTTCAGGAATCAGGTGGCTGTTCTCAGACGTATCTAGGTCGCGTTATGCAAGGCGCACAACTGGCATTTGCACTGTTGATGATTATATGCAAACCGATACAAAACTCAATGTACAAACATTAAGTTTTAAATGGCAGACAAATCAAGCCGCTGCAGTACGGGCTATTGTAAATTGTATAGGGATTCTCTCTGCATGGACGACGCGCATTTGATATTTTATACGACTGTCATCTCCGGCGTCGATCCCGTGGAGGCGTACATTATATCCCGTATAGGTTAAACCACCCCGCCTACTTGCCCGATGTGTCCCAATACCTCGCAGCGATATGTCAACAGCTACTTTCAACTCCGCGTTCCGCCAGCTCGAGCATTTTATCCGGCACGTTCGTGGAATAGCGTTTAAATCCTGGCAATCGGACCGTACGGTCATTGCATGACTGTATTATCATTTTTACGACATAGCAATATTTTTTTATCTGTACAATGTTTGTTCAACGCAAATAATATTTTTATTTAAAATTACTTTTCTTCTATTTCAAATTATAGAATATGTTATTAATGCTTATATAATTTTAATACGAGAAAAGTCAAATCATGTTTTTCGTATAAATTGATTTAATTGCGATCAATTATTTTGTAAAATGATTATAATTTAAAACTTTAAAAGCGTATATGCGTTAAAAAAAGAGACATATAAACAGTTCCGGGAAAGTGCTAAATAGCCTCCCGTCAACTTTTCGCTTCACTTTTAATAATCTCATTAATAAAGTCTGCGCGCTTGAATCCCAAACTGCACTTCCTTCGAGTTGCATTAAATCGCATCGGGATGTATATGGCAATGATTCGGCGGTTGAAATGCGATTACCACTCTGTGCAATGCAGACACGCAATAAATTACGTGCATTACGAGATGAACGGAGTGCACGGAGGAGTCCCCAGAGTACCAGGCGTCATCCGGCCTGCCACTGTGGGAAATCTGAAGCTTCCTCCGGCAACAGAGAGAAGCCTTTAAGGCTCATTAACCAAGAGATAACGCGTAATGCCGGATTACGCTGTTTCTTCGTTAGCTCACTTATCGGTCTGGTGCCATTGGCCGCGTGAATGTCGATGCATCGCTTTTACCGGCTGTTGTTCGGAATGCATGATAAGCGATTCGATGTAGTTGGTTGAATATCTTGAAAAATTTTTTACTCGTACCTCAGTTAATGAAGTTATTTATTTCAATTCTATCTCAGTAAAACGGAAAACAATATACTCCGTGTAAGAGTATATAGAATAATCGTATTATTACATTATTATCATTCACAATTACAATGATTGCGATGTACACATCAAATTCATTGAGAAGAAAAATCGTGACATTGACATCTTTAATTTGTAACACACTTGTCTAATAATACTTGATGAATCCGTTATTATTTATATCATCTGCAATGTATTAGCTTTAAACGAAATTTAATTTAGAGCCATTCTAATGACGGGAAGGGAGAGACAGACATGGAAGTCCATCAAAGTCAAAATGAAACTTTTTCATTTAATTTTTTTAATGGAATACCTCATGTCAATTAATTCTATGAAACCACATCTTATCTTAAGTGTATTAACTAAACGGAAAAATTTCTAAAATGGTAAGAGAGACTTTACTTATTTTTTTTCGATTGTTCGCAAGTAGTTAGAACGAGGGAAAAGAAAAGGATATCAAGTACAAGAGAAGTGTGTGAGAAGAGACTCGTGCGCGGCTTGATTTCTCGTTGATGGTTCGTGGGGTTAAATATACCCTCGTTGGTCTCATCATATAGAGAGAGAGAAGGGAGAAAGAGGAGGAACAAGAAAGAGAAAATGGAGCGAAAAAGATAGAAACAGTCATTCGCGCATGTATACACACATTTATATTAAAGTGAGAACGGGTGGAAAAGAGGGAGGAGAAGAAGAAGAAGAAGAAGAAGAAGAAGAAGAAGAAGAAGAAGAAGAAGAAGAGGAGGAAGAAGAAGAAGAAGAAGTAGCAATAGTAGTTGAAGAAGGAAAGGAAGAAGAAGAGAGAGACCTCCAAGGGACGGGAAAGAGAGGGAAGAAGTCAGGCTCTGCTATTACAGAGCACCTCCGTGGCGCACAGCCCAATATGGAGCAATCTCAGATTTCCATCCGCCCAAATCGAGAATATACGCCCGCGCCTCCGTTCGCTCTTCTTGGCTCACGGAGGGTTGGTCGTTGTCGCGGTTGTCGTCTTCGACGACGTCGTTGTCGTCGTTGTCGACGTTTCATCCCCCGTCCTCCTCTTTCGCGATGGAGGTGTAGACGTTGCTCTCGGTTGTTGCTTGTCCACTTCACTCTCGCTCGTAACAGTGCCAAAAGTGCTTCAAAACACTACGCTCCGTTCTGTCGATACCGTTTTCTTCTCTGCTCCTTTTCTTTCTCCTATTTACTTGCCATCTTTCTATTTTTCCTGTGATCTTTATAATTCTCTCTTTTTTTTATTTAGATACAAATTTTTATTCACGCGTTCACGTTTTCTTTCTCTTTTTATATCTTCTATTTTTTCCTTGGAAGTACATATCTTTCGAGATATCGCTGTACTTGATCACGCAAGGCAGAGCAGATTGTACGGGCGATCATGGTGTATTGAACGAGCAAAAGTGATTAATCGCGGTCTGTGATTTGTGTGATCAATCGTATTCAACAATGATTGTAGTGTCGTTCATTTGGAAGATTGATTGTGTATAAAAATCGTTCGAATAACGTAAAAACGTCTGCGGCGCACGAAATCAGTTGCCGGTTACAATTTTTCAAGAAGAGGATTCATTAGGAACGATACGTTCATGTTGCCGGAAAGCAACTTTCCCATCACAGGTAATCAGCAATGTTCGATATTGAACGAGCCGGATTTATATATAATAGATTTTTAAGCCTTAAGCTATAAGGAACAGACGAATTAGAATTAATTATTCTCCTCGCATTCGATTGTTGTTGATCAATTTCTTACGGCTTAAGACTTAAAACACCTATTGTAGATCCAGACTAAAGCAATTTTTAATTAATACATTTCTGACAGCGTGTTTTTGGACGACCGTGAGTATTTTTTGAAGTAGAATCAAACGGTAGTAATACGTGAAATCATCAATATTCTACATGTTTTATTTCAAGTAAATTTAAAATCACCGGCTGCATTATTATATCGGCAAAAAGGCAACCGACAGAAAATAAAATCGTTTCTCGATCGAACATGTCTTTTCAAACACGAACAATGAGTTACTGTTCTCCACGTGGGATACTGTCGCTGCGCTGTGCGGTTTGCGCGGGTGTTTATGCGTAATTACGGATGCACAACGGCGTCGTAATCAGGCCAATGGATCACGGTCTGTCTTAGTAGGTCGCAATAGGTGAGCAATTGATCTGTGACTTTAAGAATATTTTGACGGGTTATTACGTGTAAGAACAAAATCTTTTTGAAGGATTTCTTTTTTCTGGCCGTTGCATCACCTTGACATGTTCCCGAGCACGGCGGCTGACTTTCCGTTTTTAACCTAGTTGCACTTCTGCCAATAGTACGGAAGACCACATGTTTTCCCGCGGAACAAACGTCCGCTCCGATTCGTCCACTTGTTGCCTATGAATAAGTAAAGTTTAACTATAATATTTATTGTAATATTATTGGAGAGAAAAAATACAATCATACTACTTTCTTATCTATTGCAAATATCTAGTTATAAAAGGGAAAATGTAGATTGAATCTGTGCTAGATTCTTGAAATACCTTTTATAAACAGCTGGAGTTTATAATGTCTACAATTTTTTTAGAGCGAGGTCGTCATTTATTATCTTTTAATCTGATTAACATTTTGAATAAAATTAAATATGCAGTGGTATAAATGTATACGCTTCAGCAATCATAAATGCCTAGTGTGGCGCGATACCATCCGCCATAATCCTAAATATGGAGTGAGAAATTTGAGAGAACCGAAAATAGTGGCGCTACGCCAAACCCTAAAAATAGCCAAAAAATAAATTGTAGTTACGCGCCCGCCTGCATCATTCTATAACTGGTCTTCAATGAAAATGAGCCACCTCCCGCACATATCAATATTAATATCTTCTACTGATCTCACTATTTGGTTCACTTTTATATGAAACTTTTTACATTTTAAAATCATTAAAAGTTTAAATAACAGTATTTCGAAAACCTAAGATATTTAGACTTTATTTTCCAAAGAATCTTTCTTTGGATTTGTAAATTTTAATTTTTCTATTTATTGGGTATTTCAATAAACGTAGAAATTAAATTTCGAGTTTCGAATGTTTAATTTAATTACGATATATTGAGTTTTGAATCTCACACTTAATTTATACATAGAAAAATATCTTTTATCTTAACTTTGTATTTCTTATTTGTATATCTCTACTTTCGCTGGAACTTTATTCCAAAATATTATTTCAAAATCCACGCAATTAAATTAATAAATTCACATTGTGAGTACAGAGAGTATCCAAATACATATGTCTCGATTGTGTGTGTGTTTCCGATTGTTTTTGAGACCTTAGCTTGTATCGATAGCTTATCCCGAAGTAACTAAATGACAGTCGACGCATATCTAAGCGGATTCTCGCGAGGCGTTGAAACCCGATCGACTAGGCCAAGTATGGCTCAGGAATTGCGGGTGTTCGGTGGGCCGGAGTGTTGCCGGTTCTATTTTCGCGCAGGAATATTTTTATCCAACGGTGCTGCGCAAAGTCACAGTATGTATAATACGCTTCTTCGTCTTCTGTGCGTCTCTTTTCTCCGTTTTAGTCTCTTTCTGCGCGTTGTTTTCCGACATCGCCGCGCCGGTCGCTGACATTTTCGTTGATCCTTCATTAAATTTTTCTTTAATAAAAATAGTAGTACTATAAGCTCATTGTTTATAACTTCTTACATAATATAAAAAAATGTTTTAACATAATGAATAATACCTATATGATCACATTGAATTTTGAAAATATCAGCAATGACATTGTTATGATTGTAAAAAAAAATAATAGCAGCACAAACGCTGATTTTAGAATTTGATGATAAATTACTCATGTGCGACAGATGATTGTTGTCAATTAAATACTTAATGCGAGCTGTCTCGCGAAACATTTCCAATAAGCGGATCTCTCTCATGTAACATAGGTTTTTGCAGTTCGCTATTGTGTGATTTCGAATCCTTGAACGGACACGCGGTCGCCTACGCGGTTTGTTCAATGGTGCAACGACGGCAATAGGTGCGCTTGATCGTTTATCCATTTGCGCGTCAGACATTCGTTTAATTTCTGCCATTTCTCACGCCCGTCAAATCCACGCAACACAACTCGCCACGCTGTGCACGGCATTAATCCGCTCGTTAATACAGTGATTATGAATATTCTGCAATTCGCGCACACCGGCAACGATCTCCGGCTTCCACGACGGCCTACGCGCGACCTTTCGCGCGGTTCTTGCGAACGCCGAAATAAGAAAGTAGAAGCTGTTTGCGTAGCGGATCTTGTTTTTTTTTTTTTTTTTTTTTTTTTTTTAAATTAATCGAGAATGTTATGGCTGTCCAATAACTAATTAATTAAATGAATGCTTGGAACCGCGATCTTTAAAACTTGAGTCAAATTATAGTAAACAGCTTTCAAAACACAAATTCTTTCGATTATCACCGTAATTAAAAATAGTTGCACACAAAGTTGTTTTAATGTCTTAACCTTTCAATGAAAATTGAATTAGCGGTTGCTGTCAGTTAACAAGATTATACAGGATTTCCCAGATTTCTCCTCAATCATTGATAGTAGACTTTTGCGATTACATTTCGAAATCCTAAGAAATACCGAAACATGAGTAAGAATCAAATACTTTATAATAGTAATCTATAATGTTTAAATTTTCAGGGGGCACTATGCAGACCGAAGAAGTCGTGCCGCGTACACAGTCTATTGGCATAGACAGTAGTCTCATCGACGGCGCTGGTTTGCAGCATCATTTGCACCATTCGGTACATTTACGTTGCCCGCTATCGCCACTAATCCACATGGCCGTAAAACAGGAGCCTCAGGAGGAAGAAGAGCGAAGTCGCGATGCTAGCACGTTGAGGTGAATCGCAAACCTCTTCAAGTAATTTTATATTAATTACTACAAACGACGCGATGCGCGACAAATAGATTTATGAATACTAGTTTTATTTGAAAATTAATATCAATAAATAAATAAATTATGATAATAATTTTGTCAAATCTGCACGAATTATATTTACTGTAAAAATATATTTCCTAGCAATAGATTTCATTGTAACAGCAAATTGAATGTATTTTAATAGAAAAACCCGTATTTTTTTTTTGTAATTTTCTCGAAAGATTTTTTTTTTACAAAAATCAAATAATATAAAGAAATTAATGATGATAAATTTAATTATTTTTATATTAAATCTATAATAATATAGCACCAGTAGCAAAATCTTTCTTTTGTGTATTTATATCGATTATCAAGTCAACATAAATCAAGTTAAAAGACATAACTTTCTTTGTTTATTATTCGGATATAATTTTGGATACTTATCGTATCTTTTTTCTGCAATTGGAAATTCTTCTTCTTACGTTAGACCTCTAACGTAAGAACATCTCTCATGTTTATGGAGGACACGCTGATTATTCAATTGCCACATAGCAGCATATGAGCCTTACAGTTTTAATGCCGATTCCGAATGGCGAGAGGTGTTTCTGTGGGCAAGAATACTCTCGGGAGGTTGCCGGCTTCTTCCGAGAAAAATAAATACTTTAATACCTACTGGAATCGAACCCGAGACCTCTGGCATGATAGATCAGTGCGCTGTCTGGCTCAATTAGAAATTGATGAAAAAAGGATATATCAAAATTGCTAGAAGCTCAAAACTGAAGAATAAAAGTCTCTTTTTTGTTGCTTTTAATAGCTCGCAAGTGGACGTAGGCAACGTGGTGGGTTCAATGGACAGCAAGCATGGACAGCAAGGTGGTAATCAAATTCAAGCACTGGAGGAAAATCTAGCTTTAACTAGTCCAGATTCTAGCAGTCGAGGACGAACTAGGTGATCTATCTATCTTTCTTCGATTTATTTTACGCAACATTCTATCAATAATTAAATAGTATCAATAAGTAAATAATATTTGAAGTTTGTTTACGCCGTATAAAACGTATTTGTATTTTCTCAGATTTACGAATTTCATATTAATCTATTTAAATTAAATGGTTTTGCAACGAGAGCAAAGTAACACTTTTATGCATACAGTACTTTCATCAAAATGCTTTTGTTATTTGATAAATCTTGTAGCATGCGTTTGAAGAGCGTGATGAGTATGTCTTGCGACGGCTTACATTGTCAGGTAGCGCGATCCGCGGCAACAACGCGACTCGGGCTATCTCTTATCTTTTTTGTCAAGTCTCTAACGACGTCTTTAACGTAAAACCGGCCGATGTCCAGGAAAGTGCTTTAAGTGCGATCGTCGACAAGAAAGATAGGCGCCAGGAAACTGGTTCGTGCCGAGCGAGTCTTCTAAAGTGATGCGCGCGCCTGTACGAGTACGCGAAGAAAAAAAATTTGCAGATATACGTCAGCGAAATGTGCGTCGCGAGAGAGCCGATTACCGTTATTATTGAATTTCATTAAACTAGAGAAGAAGAAGCGCGACACACGTTCTCTGCATAGGAGCTAAGGCGCCGTATCGCGCGGCACAAAACGCTATTAAGGTGTGGCTCGGAATGCAGTCACCGGTGTTAATGAAAGAGCGATATCACCGATATAATAGCCACGATGCTAGTTCAAATACTTTTTTCCTAAATAATGTATTAGCATAATATATATCGAATGCAACATTAATTTGAGACCGGCAATAAAAATGCATTCTTTATTTCTTTTCTTTTATTTTAACGGATAAGTTAATATAATTACAAAAGAATAATTATTCTTTGTAATTTTCTTGATGCTCAACCAGTATAACTTGTCACAGAAGTGTTTTATAATGGAAAAAAATGTGTGGTCTATTAGTCTAAATATTATCAAATATGAAATTTCGTATATTTCAGTCGTGGACGTAGGAAATCGCGATGGAAACTTAAATTCCATCATCAAGCATTACCGCCGGAATATTTGGATCATTACGAAGCATCACTGGCTCAGGAAAACCTGAATTTGTCACCGCCACGCATCATCGAGCCAACAGCATCCAGTCCAGCGCCGACCAACTCGACGTCTACCCCAAGTCCCATCGCCGACGTTCATGGTTGGCTGCAGCGAATCGCGGCGATGCAGCAGGAGCTCTGTCCGCAGATCGCACCGCCTCAATGTCCAACGACCCTCGGCCATAATCAAGTCACCGCGAGTACTAGAAGATCCGTCATTACGTCTGTGTCTTCGCAGACTTGTAATACAACTTATCCCAGTCATCATATCCAACAGACGCAGACGTCTAGCAGGCCTCCCATGAAATATTCCGATCTACCGTACATGGGTGAAATCACTCTCGATAATAGCAAACCTAGACGTGGCCGGAAACCGAAGAAGGCTGACATATGTCATTTGATTTACAAAAATTATGGTACGATATTGCCGGGCACGCCTGGTCATGAGGAGAAGAGACTGTCGCCTCGTGATAAGCAGGAGCGTGTGTCACCTCAAGTATCTTTTCAAAGGACCGATGTTCAAAACAGGATCAGCAGTTTGTTGGAAAAACGACTGACACAGGAAACCCGGAGGAACTTTGTGTTGTCTGAGAATTCGCGGGAGCAAGATGAGCCACTGAATCTTTGCATTAGGGATCTCAACCAGCTGAAGATACGTTTACTGCGGAAACATGGGAACGTA